CATCATCTCTGCCTCCATCTCTGGCATCACTGCTTCTCTGGGTAGGGTCCCGCTCTCCACTCTTCTCCCTTGATGGTCCCAGGGACCTCCGCTCCTAAACTGAAAAGTTAGTCATTCAAGTAAACATCTTTTTACTGTTCTTTGCTTCCATCTGATGTCGGCCATGATATCCCTCATTCCATGTCCTCTTCTGAATCTGGCTTGAATTTCTGACAGCTCCTAGTCAATGTACTGCTGCAGCTGTTTTTGAGTTATCTTCAGCAAAATTTTTCTTACATGTAATATTAATGATATTGTTAGATGATTTCCATATTCCATTGGGTCACCTTTCTTTGGATGGGCACAATATGGATGTCCTCCAGTCGGCTGACTAGGTAGCTGTCTTCTAAATTTCTTGACAGATGAGTAAGCATCACTAGTGCGGTATCAATTTGTTGAAAGATTTCAATTTGTGTCTGTCAATTCCTGGAGCCCAGTGTCATCAGTGTTGCTTGGACTTCTTCCTTCAGCACCATCTGTCCTTGATTATATGGTACCTCTTGTAATGATACAACATCTACCAATTATTTTTGTGACTGTGACATATTTTGTGACATACAGTGACTGTGCATTGTATGACGTTCTTGATGTCATCCTACAACTCTTCTGGTCTTCGGTCTTTAGTGTCTAATGCATCAAATCTGTTCTTCAGGTGATCTCTAAATTCAGGTGGGATATGTTCAAGGTCATATTTTAGCTCTGCTGGACTTGTTTTAATTTTCTTCAGACTCAGCCTGAACTCCCATATGAACAATTGATGGTCTGTTCTACAGTCTGCCCCAGCCTTGTTTTGGCTGAATATATGGAGGTTTTCTACCGTCTCTTTCCACATATGTAGTCAATTTGATTTCTGTGTATTCCACTCGTGAGGTCCATGTGTATAGTCCTCTTTAATGTTGTTTAAAAAAGGTACTTTCAATGAACAAGTCATTGGTCTTGAAAAATTCTATCATGTGATCTCCAGCATTATTTCTATCACTAAGGCCATCTTTTCCAACTACTGATCCTTCCTCTTTGTTTCTAACCTTTGCATTCCATTTGCAGTAATTATCAGTACGTCTTGATTATATGTTTGTTCCATTTCAGACTGAAGAAGTTGGTAGAATGCCTCAATTTTAGCATCACTGGCTTTAGTGGTTGGTGCATAAATTTGAAGAGTAGTTTTGCTAACTGGTCTTCCTTGTAGACGTATGAATATTATCCTATCATAGACAGTGTTGTACTTAAAGATAGATCTTACAATGTTCTTTTTGATGATGAATGTGATGCCATTCATCTACAATTTGGCATTCCTGGCATAGTAAACCATATGGTTATTAGATTTTAAATGGCTAATACCAGTCCATTTCAGCTTACTTACTAATACTTAGAATATCGATGTTTATGTGTTCCATTTAACTTTTGACAACTTCTAATTTTCCTAGATTCATACTTTGTACATTCCATGTTCCAATTATTAATGGATGTACAGCTGTTTCTCTTCATCAAAATGAAGGTCCCATCAAAAATGAAGGTCCCAAAAGCTTTACTCCATTCATGTCATCACAGTCAACTCTACTTTGAGGAGGCAGTTTTTCCCCAGTCATATTTTGAATCATCTGTCACCTCTGGTGTCAGAGAGTGGTTCATAACCTCTCAACCCCCTCTATCTGCTGTTGTTGTTTAGTGCCATCGAGTCAGTTCCAACTCATAGTGACCTTTCTAGGGTTTCCAAGGAGTGGCTGGTGAATTTGAACTGCCAACTTTGCAGTTCAAACCAAACTCGAAGTCCTACAGCACCACACCAGGACTCCTGTAGTCTTCTAGAGGATATATTTTTGAAAATCTGATTCCAGCCTTGCTATCTCTCAAGGCGCCAATGACAAATCATACCACTTATGTTAGGAAGTGGCACTTCAGACTCATCCAGTTACCTGAGTGTCTTCTAGAAGGCAGGGACCAGTTGCTGTCAAGTCAACCCCAACACCTGGTGACACCGTGTGGGTCAGAGTAGAACTGTGCTCCAATAATTTTTCAGAAGCAAATTGTTAGGCCTTTAGAAGCACCTCTGGGTACGCCTCAAACCTCCAACCTTTTTGATTAACAGTCAAGAGAGTTAAGCACTTGGACCACCTAGGCACTGTCCAAATTTTTCAGAAAATCCATTTTTAAAAGGTGGGGAAAGTTAGTACTTATGCATCAATCTTACCCTTGATCCTAAGCCTCATTACTGTGTGAGGTTCCCACTCCTCCAGGGTCCAAAGGGTCGTGATCATCCAGAGGCCCCAGGTGCCACCTCACCAAGCCAACCCCAGTTCCTTTTTCTGTCCAGAGCAGCCCATCTGTGAGTTCTGTGTGTGTTGGCATCTGAAAGAACAATTAATTTGTTTTGTACTAGAGTTTTTTTAAGCCCCTCATTTACATATATTTGCATAACTGATGAGATAAGAGTAGGGGAGTCATGAAGGATGAGCTCCCTGGAGGCCTGGCTTGTTGTTGATGATAATATTGTAAATTCTGTACAAGTTGGGAAGGGAGAAGGGAGAATCAATAGGCAGCGATGTTAAGATAGTGTTCCTTGGGGCAGCCGGGGAATGTCTTAATGAGTTTAACCCTAGTTCTTACAAAACGCCTAGGTGGGGATTACAGCTTCTCAGAAGTGGGCACCCTTTTGGCAAAGGGTTTACACAGTTGTTGCTGCTTTGATGTGGGAAGGACAGAAATTAGGTCCCAAAGACCTATTTGGGAATCAGAGGATTTGTATAGCATTTCTCCATGCCAGTGACTGCTCTGAGCGCTTGACATATCATAACCCTTATAATGTCCCTAAGAGCCCTAGGAGGTGGGGATTATCAGCAGCCCTACTTCACAGATGAGGAAAGAGATCCAGAGGTGTTGAGTGACTTGCCCAAGGTCACTCAGCTAGAAGTGGTAGAGCTGGGATTAGACACAGATGCTCTGTGTTCTTACTCATGGTGCCAATTTGTGTATCTTTGCCCTGCCTCTCTGGTCACCTTCTGTTGGGACAATTGAGAGAACGGATGATGCATCTGGGCTGTGAGCTGTTTCCTGCCCAGCCATAGAGCTATTGGCTGATGGTAGTTGAGGCAATGATAGGGTTTGGACCACCTGCCCACTTCTGCTCCAGGTAACAATGGGCAGAGGTACCCACTGTTTGTGCTCATACATGGACCAGTGTGCTATTTTCACCTCAGCTGTGTGCGGCCAGCCTTCTTACTTCCCTGCGGATTGATCTCCTGGTCTCTCCAGTGGCTAACACACCCATGCAGCCAGCCACTCCAGCATCTTCACTAGACACTCACCATATTGATAATAATCGTCCCGCCGCAGATTCGGTGCTTTCCCATGCCCAGCTCACTGTGCTCACATGTGATGGACAGCACTAGTTTGGGCTCTGCTTTCCAGGAGTTTTGTGATCTGCCCACACTTAGGAAGGACTCCACACGCCGGTGCTACACTTAGGCTTTCTGGCTGTTAGCCAGGAAGGCTCAAGAAGGAAAAAACGTAAGGCGTTTGGGGCCTCCCCAAAGTTGCTGTGTGGTTGTGACAAGGAAGGGAGCTAGCACTGGTTGAAAGCATATGTGCCGGGTCTTTTCCTAACATCGGCTCATTCAGTCCTCAGAGCAGTTATACAAGGCAGGTGCCATCACCCCATTTTACAGATGAGTAAACTGTAACTCACACAAGTCATGTTAGCCCACAGGGTCACATAGCTAGCGAAAGGCAGAGTCACATGTCAGACATACATCCTTTTGGGTCTTGGACTCGTGATCCACTAGGGTTGCCACCTCTGTAGGGAACAATGAAAGAATGTCACATGACATGACGTCTGTCAAAAACCTTGGCAAGAGGGGACACCCATGTGATAGGGCAGTTGCATGCATATGTGAGCATGAGTGTCAGTGTATGTGTAAGTGTATGTGAGTGTGTGTTGTGTGTGTGTACGTGTGCCTGTGTGTGTGCCTCAGCTGCCTTGGGGTGTGAGGCAAGTTCGGTAAGCTCATGGGTGAGAAACCTAGTGGCTTATGTAGCCACTGAGAGCTCCCCAGGAGAATCTATGTTAGAAAATTCTCTGTCAGTTCTCCTGGTGAGTGGGTTGGGCCAAGAACAGAGAAGAGGAAGCTCAGGGCTCTCTGAGATTTCTGGCCCCTGAGTTCACATTTAGACCCCACCAGGAAGACAGTAAAGAGACATGAAGGGTCAAGGGTTGGAGATGAAACCAGAAACCAGATGAGGGACGGGAACTCCTACAGTCTATTTGCTACCTCTTAACAGCACATGACTCAGCCATAATGCACTGGCGAGAAGCTTCAGACCCAGGGCTGGGGGCCTCGAATAATGATCCACTCTAAATCCAGAGGCTCACAGGTATGGGAGCCCTCTGTGTTTGCCAGGTTTTCAGGAGCTGAGAGAAAACATGACCATTTTCTCGGCAGGGAGAATTTTTCTTACACTTTTGTTAAGTCCAAACATCTCTAGAGGACTGAAGCCTGTGACACCAGGAAGATGGACCCGTAACCATACATCCTCTGACCACACACCCACTGACCACCTCCGTGGTGTCCTCTGGTCTCTGCAGGGGGAGCCATGGGCGGGACCATCAGTGCTGTGGCCTCACTGGTAGACCTGGCAGTGTCCCGCGACGTGACAGATAGTGCCCTGGCCTTCTTCCTGACTGCGGACGTCTTCCTCGCACTCTGCATCGTGCTCTACCTGCTGCTGCCCAGGTTGGCGTACGCCAGGTGAGGCTCCTTCTGAAGTAGTTGTGTGTTTACATTCTTAGATCATCTAATTAGAGCATTGCCTGCCACCCCCACCACAGGGTGAGAGCTGTGTAGGCAGAAACCTGTGTGAGTTTTGTCCACTGCTATGCCCCTGGTGCCTCGGGCTGTGGTCTGGTCACTGAATATGAGACATCAGCTCCCTCTGTACCCTAGGTGCTAGGGCAGGAAGGCAGGTGGTAGGAGGGGGACTTGAAGAATACTGATGAGTGGTGGTTCTTATTCCTTGAACACGTCTCCTGTTCCAGGCACATGTCCTGTCTCATTGAACCTGCACACAGCTCTGTTCCCCTCAGGGTACAGTACTGCCGCTGCTACTAGTCTACCACCCGCCTGTCAGCTTAGCAGACCATGCCAGCTTGCATGTTGCTCTGCTGCTGGAAGCAATGCCACCAATAATACCATGCCTGTCACCCATGGTAGACAGGTTTCAGTGGAGTGTCCAGACTGAGAGAGACTAGGAAGAAAGGTCTGGCAATCTATTTCTGGAAGCCAATGAAAACCTTCTGGGGCACAACAAAACATTGTCGGAGTCACTTGCTCTGGACACAGTGCAGGGGCGGAGGGGACCCTTGATGAGCTGGGTCAGCATTGCAGGAATGGACTCGAAGAAGCTGGTATGGTGAGGTGCTGTTTCAGTCTGGTGTATGCCGAAAACAACAACAGCATTATTATTATTCTCATCCACAAACAAGTCAACTTGGGTTCAGAGAGATCAGAGAATTTGCCTGAGTTAACAGCTAAGAGGAGCAGAGTCAGGATCCGAACCCAGATTCCAATCTGTGCTTTTTAACCACTGCTCGATGGGGCTTCCTCTCCAACCTGCGGCAGCTCTTCTCTTGCCTGAATCTCTGTCTTGCTTTCTCTTTGTCAAGTTCCTGATTTTTCTTCCAAGTTGACTATTGTTCTTGGAAAAAAAAGAAACACTAACTTTTTCTCACATTTTATTCTTTTCTATGTAGCTTCATATTCATTATCTTATTTGATCCTAAAAGCAAACCTGAGATTTAGGAAAGGCAAGAGTTATTATCCCCATTCTACAGGAGGGGAAACTAAGACAAAAAGGCAGCCAGGTGACCTGTGGTCACATGATGTGTGAGCTGGCAGAGTTGGGATAGTTCTAGCCCTTGCTCCTCCCTGTCTACCAGGACCATACTGTGTGCCTTCACTGAGCCATACCTGGTAGTTGCCCTTGGGCCAACTCCAGTTCATGGCAACCTGTATACATGAGAATGGAATGTTACCAGTACCAGTCCTGCAGACTGGTCATGACTGTGGTATATCGATCCATCTCACTGATGGCTTCTCTCATTTTTGATGACCCTCTACTTGGCCAAACGTGATGTCCTTTTCTAGCAATTCGTTTTTTTCTGATGAGGTTTCCAAAGTCTCACACTTCTTGTACAAAGGAACATTCTGGTTGTATTTTCCATTTCAGAGTATTTGGGTAGGTCCATATCCATATCATCTGAGAAGCTGGACTGTATGAAGAACTAGGCATCAGGATTAGAGGAAGACTCATTAATACTTTGTGATATGCAGATGACACAACCTTGCTTGCTGAAAGCAAAGACGACTTGAAACACTTACTGATGAAGATCAAAGACTACAGCCTTCAGTGTGGATTATTCCTCAATATAAAGAAAGCAGAAATTCTCATAACTGGAACATCGAGAGAAAGGGAGGAAAGATTGAAGTTGTCAAGGGTTTCATTTTACTGGAATTCACCATCAACACCCATGGAAGCAGCAGTCAAGAAATCAACATTGGCCAAATCTGCTGCAAAGTCACTTTGAGGGAGTAGGTGTGCCTAACCCAAGCTATGGCATATTTAGTTGCCTCATTTGCGTTCAAAGCTGGACAGTGAATAAGGAAGACTGAAGAAGAGTTGATGCCTTTGAATTAAGGTGTTAGCAAAGGATACTGAATATACCACAGATTGTAAGAAGAACCAACAAATGCTACTTAGAAGTCAGGATGGTGAGACTTGCCTGACGTACTTTGGACATGAGAAGGACCTCATGCTGGATAAAAAAGAGGAAGCCCCTCAAGGAGATAGATTGGAACTGTGGCTGAAACAGTGAGCTCAAGCGCAGTAACAGTGTGAGGGTGTTGCAGGACTGGGCATTGTTTCTTCCTGTTGTGCACAAGTCAGAACTGTCTTAACAGAGCACAGTGGTGACGAATTGTGAACCACAAGGTCAGCAGTTCGAAACTACCAGCTGTTCCGCAGGAGAAAGATGAAGCTTTCTGTTCCCGTAAAGAATGACAGCCTCGGAAACCCTGTAGAGGGTCGCTATGGGTCGGAACCGACTCCACGGAACACAGCCATCACCACTAATAGCACTAAACAGCATTTCCAATGGGAAGGCCAACCATCACCGTTTGTTTATCTGGGATTGAAGAGGTTCCCAGGACAAGGGACAGTGCTCAGACTGGAACAGTCTCAGGCACACTGGAACCACTGGTCACCTAGTCTCCAGTGTAGCTTGGGCAGGCCTAAGTCCTCTCCAGCCAAGCATGTGAGCCAGTTGGCACCCATGGCTGGGCCATCCTGTTCAAGTTTCTGTTTCCTTGCTGAACAAAACTCTGGTCAACACATCTGGGCTGATCGAAATTCATTTGAGGATGGAGCTTTTAGCAAGTCCTGTGCTCTTAGAGCTGCTCAGAACAGATGTATTTAAAAGGAAAGCCACAGGCACTGCCTCTAGGAGGGCTCAGCTGGACCGCCCCATCCTGACCAGAAAGTCCTGAGCCTCATGCAACACTACTACTGGCCATCAGATGCTACCATTCCTTAGCACAGGGTAGAGACTGGTAAGGGTGAGATGAAGCAGGCAGATTTGGAAAAACTTAAGAGGAATAACTTCCAACAGAGGAAGTTGGTGGGGAGCTTTCTCCAAACAGCTCTAAGTCAAGGACTTGGTACTGAGTAGAGGGGAAGTGAGAATGTTCCACTCCATAGACAGTAGTTGTGAAATTCTGCACACACCAAGAAGTGCCCAGCTCAGCATCACGTGGAAATGTAATGCCCTCAAGAGTCTGCCTCCTGACTTGCCCGTTGTCTGTAGGCTTTTAGGATGAGAAAACTGGCGGTCACCTCCAGGTAACCCCATGTCTAACTTCAAGGCTCAAAGCTCCACTTTAGAGAGGAAGAAACTGGGCCTAGCCCAAGGTCAAGCAGGGAGGCAGAACCTACCCATCACTCCAGCACACCACGCCCTTCTGTTTGACCTGTCAATACAGTCAGCCTTGTCGTTGTAAAGTGCCATCGAGTCGGTTCCGACCCATAGCGACCCTGTAAAGGATTTCCGAGGAGCAGTTGGTGAGCTTGAACACCGCCTTGCAGTTCAAACAGCTTTGCATTCTGGCCCATTAACCTACAGCGCCATACCAGGACTCCACAGTCAGCCTTATACCTCCTGATTTTCAAGGCACTTGAGGCCCAGAAGGGACAAGTGACTTAGGCAAGGTCACACAACACAGCAGAAAGTTACAGGCTTTTGCACTCATCAGAGTAGTAGAGATCAAAATGATTGATAATATTCAGTACTGAGGGTACAGGGGAAAGGCACTTGTATAGGTTATTCTTTCAAGAAATATGTTTTGAGGGGAAATCCCAAGTGAGCCTGCTTTATGGTTGCCCTCTGACCACGTGTGTTTTCTCCTCCCTGCAGGTTCTACATGAGGCCTGCTTGGCCAGCCCACGTGGTTTCTGGTGAAGTGGGGCAGCTCCAGGACTCTTCCAGTGCCTCTTTGTTGGCCCCCAGATCCAATAACTCCCACACGCCACCCCTCTGTCCCATCCTGAAGATGACCATTGGCCTAGGCTTCAGCATCATTTATCTCTTCTTCATCACCAGCCTCATCTTCCCCGCCATGTGCACCAACATCGAGTCCTTCAACAAGGGCTCCGGCTCACTGTGGACCACCAAGTTCTTTGTCCCCCTCACCAGCTTCCTCCTGTACAACTTTGCTGACCTGTGTGGCCGGCAGATCACAGCCTGGATCCAGATCCCAGGACCCAAAAGTCGGCTGCTCCCAGGGCTCGTGCTTCTCCGAACCTGCTTCATCCCACTCTTCATATTCTGCAACTACCAGCCCCGCACACACCTAAAGAAGGTACTCTTCATGTCCGACGTCTACCCCATAGTCTTCACCTCTTTGCTGGGAATCAGCAATGGTTACCTCAGCACCCTGGCCCTCATCTACGGGCCGAAGATTGTGTCGAGGGAGCTGGCTGAGGCCACAGGGGTAGTGATGTCCTTTTATGTGAATTTGGGTTTGCTACTTGGCTCAGCATGCTCTGCCCTGCTGGTTCACCTCATCTAGTAGGGTGGCTAGGATGTCAGGGCCGCGTGGCCCTTTGGAGCCTCTGTAAGGTGTTAAGGACGTGCTGGGAGGGCTTGGGTGGCGTGGAAAGGACTGAAGTTTTGCTGGGTGCAGAGAGCAGAGCCCACCCAGGCCTCATCTCTTCCCACGGAATGAATGAACCAATAATGATCTGAATGAACAACTGTCTGATGGCATTCCAGGCACTTTAACAGAACACCCTGAGACATCTGAATTGGACCAGTGAAGACTTCGTTACATGGTTACCAAGTGGGGTATCACTTTTGTAGCGGATTCTTAGCATTCCACCTGTCTTTGTAGCTCAAATGTGTTACCAGGGTCTAGCTGCTGAGTTGCTAGTGCCAAAACCCAACCCAGCCTTGCTCCTTCCATCTGATAGCAAGAGGTGCGAGAATTCAGTCCCTATCCTGGGGGTGGGGGTTCTCCTAGAATGGAGGCCCCTCTGGAATGGCCAGCAGACCCCCACATGCTGAGGGTGGGAAACCATCCATCAGCCAGACTGGAAAAGCCGAAACAGGCCTACCAGGAATCCTTCATTCCATAAACGTGGCTTCTAGGGGGCTTTCCTGTTCCGGGAATAGTGCAGTATACAGGGTCTGGGAGGGGATTTTTTAATGTTAGCGTTTATAACATGTCAAGGCCATTGGTTCAAGGGCCTAATAAATTCTTGGTTATTTTATAAAAGCCTTGTTGGGGTCAGTATTCATCAGGAAACGGAAGCATACTTCAATTGAGGGAAACTAAGGTACATCATAGGAGTCCTGGTGTGGCGCTGTGGGTTAATGCGTCAGACCGCAAAGCCGTTTGAACTGCAAGGTTGGAGGTTCAAGCTCACCAGCTGCTCCTCGGAAACCCTATACAGGGTCGCTGTGGGTCAGGACCGACTCAACAGCACTTAACAACAACAACAAGGTACATAGTCCAGAACTAGCAATACTGAAGAACAGAGGCCTGAATGGATGAAGAAAGCATTCTAGAAGCTGGAGAAGTTACTTCAGTCTGGAGTAAGGGGGACATCCAGACTGCAGGGACCCTCAGGTGGGAGCTGAGGGAATGCAATCCTTCCCCTCTTCCAGTCTGCTCTCCTCTGAGTCCCATGTAAATGGAATCAGGCAAGGAACAATCAGGTAGAGAGTGGGCCTAGAAAGGCAGGGGAAGGGTGTCCAATCCAAGGTGCCATCCAGAGTGGAGCCAATGGGGCCTTCAATGTCATAAAGCTATTTTTATCCAACTCAATAGAACTCTGAAGCTGGTCAGCCATATTAGATGTGGTTTTGCCCTGGTAGTCGTATGTCTTGATATGGTTGCTTCAAAGGAAGGTACCTGGTGGCACAGTGGTTAAGCATTAACCAAAAGGTCAACAGTTCAAACCCATCAGCCCCTCCACAGGAGAAAGATGACGCAGTCTACTTGTGTAAAGATTTGCAACCTTGGAAACCCTATGGAGCAGTTCTACTCTTTCTGGAGGGTGCTATGAATCGGAACCCAAAAGATGTTATTGGGTTGGGTTGGGTTTTGCTTCAAAGGATACCCCCAGGATTCTGTTGCCTCACCAGGGAGACACATTTGTAATGCCTGGCATGAACTCTTATTTATGTATTGTGAGGTTCCTTGGGGGGCAGGCTGTCTTGGGATCAGAGAGAGAAACGAAGTCCGTGAGAAGTGGAGAGACCAGCGGAGCCCCTCTCCACCGTGCTTGCTCGGTCGGGTCCTAACGCAGGCAGCGGTAATCCACTCAGCGGGTGGCAGTTTATCTTCCCTGCCGTCTTCAGTCTACAACACAGCCCCTCTTTGACCAGAGAATTGGACACCCTTGAGAGGTTTTCTGGAACGTGATACCTTATTAAAATAAGATTCTCCCCTCCCCTTGCTGTAGCCTGAAATCTCCCTGGACTGTTTTTCATCCAGACTTTAATACTGTGCATGATGTGGTCGGCCACTCATCTCAGCCTCCAGTGTCTTAAAAATGGGCAATGTCTGTCCGTTTCTCAGAAAAATAGGGGCATCTGTGTGAGATGGGGACAGTCCTGAAGTTAACTCAAAGGGAGTGAATGGTCCTGAAGCTAACTCAGACTCCAGCCAGCTGAGCCCTCGGTCCTGCCTGGAGGTCCAGCTGCACTGTGCTGGGACTAGTCCTTGCCCTTGCCTGGAACTTAGAGGGAGCTCTGGGCCACAGCTTGGGGTGGAGAAGTCATCAAGACTGAGGTCTGAATTCTGATCCTGCCACCTTCTAGCTGTGTCACTGTGGCTAAGTCTTCCTGGGACCCTCTTTTCTCATCTCTAAAAAAGGAAACCTCCTAGGGTGTTGTAAGGGTTAAAGAATTTGTACATATGAAATGTACAATATCTCAGGACAGTTTTTACTACTGCCTAACTATGACAGAACCAACTCCACGGCACATAACCACCACCACCAGACAGTTAGGAGCTTGGTGTGGCGCTATAGGATCAGCACTGGACTGTTCAACCACAAGGTTGGCAGTTCAAGCCCTCCAGCTGCTCCTCAGAAACCCTATACAGGGTCGCTATGAATTGGAACAGAGTTGACCACACTTAACACAAAAACAACAGAGTTTGTGGCCATGACAAATGCCTTCCTGTGGTAGGTCATGCCCCACACTCTGTGCTTGGTACGGAACCCCTGGCCCATCTCTCAGGCCCTGTACACCTGTGCTATCTCTTCCAGTTCTGATCCCTGTTGTTTGATGCTCAAGCCCACAGCTTGGACCTGTCTGCCAGTCTGGGGCAGGGGACACTGGGCAGAAAGTTGGAAACCCATGATACTAGACCAAGCACATTTGGACCTTTGGCCAATAAGCCACTTTACTCTTTTCCTCAAAGCCTCAGCTAGAGAAATGGACACCCCACACCTATCCTGCCTCCATCATGAGCACCTGTCCAAGTACATGGCTGCCTTTTGGAAAACAGTCATGTTGCAAAATGTCTGGGAGCGTGTGCCCTGGAGCCAGCCTGGCCAGGTTTAAATCCCAGCTCACTAATTCCTAGTGGTGTGATCATGGGTAAGGTTAACCTCAGCCCCAGTGTTCTTTAAGGGTGGCAATAGGACTGACCTCACGTGGGCTGAGTGTGTACAATACATGATAGCTTGGCTCCACATAGGAAGCATTTAGAATTAAATCTGGTACTTAAGTGCTAATTGCCTTCCTTTCCCTGAGCCTGGACCACACGCTCTGCGTCCAGCTGCTCCCCTGCTCAGCCCGCTGCATACTCCTCAAAACCACGTGTCTCCCAAGTGCTGTTCAGTGTTCCAGCCAACATTATCTGCTTGGAGATAGAGCTTCCCCAGGAAGGTGGCTTACTCTAATTTTTAAAAATTTTAAAGGGGGTGGTGGTGGGAATAAGAGGGAGGGAGTGAGAAAAAGAGAAAGGAAAGAAGAGAGAGAAAGAAAAAGACAAGAGAGATGAGGTGGGCTGGAGGTCAGAGATGGAGGTGTTTCCTGTTCCCTTCCTCCCATGCCCTTGGACATACATAGGTGGGTGGGTGCCATGGGACTGCAAGGCTATAAATTAAGTGTCTTATATAAGGAATCCTATAATGATTGCATGTGGCCACTGGGTCTGTCTTTAACATTCAGATGCTTTCCTTTCTCCATCATGTACTTGCCTTTGATGAGGACAACTGGAAAGGCAGTTCTTACCAGTGTGCCTCCATTTCCTTACCTGTAAAACGGGGCTAACATAGTGCCAACCTCCTGGGGTAAATGTATGAATCCATGAAAAACTACATGCTTGTGCCTGGTATGGGATAAGTTCTTCATATATGTGAAATTATTTCTCCTCCTCATTGCCTTGTGGAGTTGGCAGGTCAGAGGTTACCCTGACCATTTTTTCAGATGAGGAAGAACTATGAAGACTGTAAGTCAGTTGCTGAGCCTCAGGGTGAGAACAGAGGTTCCCTCAGCTCTCTGCTAAGATTATTGCATACAAGAAGCCTGCTGCTGGGGAAGGACTCCCACTAGAAAAACTGGGGAACAACCACATCTGCTAATAACTCAGTTCTGAGGGCCAATCACAGCATGCAGGATGCAGACATGAACCAGAGAGCCACCCGGCTGAAGGGTCTGACCTGAGCATCTTCCTGGGGTCACTCTGTCTAATCTGGCATCTGCAGCCTGGGTTTTATAGGGGTTGCTGCTGCTTGTTAAGCACTAGGGGACAGATACGCACTAAGCATGCTGGTGCAGAATCTTACCAAGTCCATCCCGGCACACTGTGGGGGGGGGGTGCAGGACTAGCCCCATTGTATAGATGCCAAAATGAAGGTTCAGAGGCTAAGTGGCAGAGCTGAGCTCAAACCCAAGTCTGTCTGACTCCAGGACTCTAGCTCCACAGCGGCTGCCCTCATCAGAATTACTTGCAGCATTTGGTGAACGCAGATGGCTGGGCCCACCCGCAGAGTCTGGCGCCACAGTTCTGGGATGGGCCACGAGAATCTGCACTTCTAACAAGTCTCAGGTGGTATGGATCCTGCTGATAGGGGAACCCATTCTGAGAACCGCTGTGCTGGACCACCAGCGAGAGATGAGGGGTAGTTAGGCACCCACCTGCTCATGGGAGAGAGAGGCCCTCCTCTACTCCTATTCAGTTGAGGGCTCAGGACAGAAAATCATTAAATAACCAAGTGCAGCTGGGACTCTCTCTCAACCATCTCTAAAAATGAGCTCAGGCTCAGGGCAGAGTCTTTGCAAGCTAAGTGCCCACCCACCTTCTCCACTAACCCCCAAGGTTGGACCCACTGGCTTCATTCCTCAGTGGCACCTTTCCCACCAGCTCCCTTCAGCCAAAGCCCAACACCATAAATAGACTGGAAGGAGGAGGGAGAAGGGTAGGCGTGAGAAAGGGTGAGATCCCTTCCTCCCCACCCCCAGGGGCAAGTTGGAAGGAGTGGAGGTCTCACCTCCTCCCAGATGTTCCTCTAGCTGAGAGCAGCAGGGTGGGGGTGTGGGACCACCTCTTGC